GAATGCGGCTGCAATCAGCCACCTACCCCCAGGTTAAGCAGCTCGTCTCCAGGAGGGAGCAGCCCTGTTGCTGGAGGATGGGCTCATTCTCGGAGCAGGACTGGCCATTCCTTGCAGGGGCTCAAAGTATCAGCAGCTCTTGGGCAGTGCCTTTGGCTTGGGCAAGCACTGGAGAGGTTAGGGGCACCTAAAGACAAACAGGAAAATCCACATTAGATGCAATAACTGCACACAGCGCAGCCTGAGGCAAGGATTAAACTTGCAAATACTTTTTAAGCCCTTACTTCCCCCCCCACCCAGGTGCTTATTACAATACTAATAATATTAATAACGTGGTTATTCCCTTGTTAGAGAGCACTCACACTCCTGAGTCGCAGCAAGCATCCGCATGCAGCTGAGATGGGGCTGGGGGCAGCCCAGCACTGGTGGCCACCTGGAACTTGTCACAGTGAGGGCCACAGCAGCAAAGTCCCCCTTGGCTCCCTGGGGACTGCAGGTACCTGGAGGCTCTTCCTGGGGACAGACAGGCTCCAAGAGCCTTGGAAAACCATCCTGAGCGAGTCGGATCGCCCCGGGGTTCAACTGTCACGTCCTTGGGAGCTGTCAGGGCTTCTCACTGGGAATGCAAAAACAGGAATAGCATCACTTTTATACATGTGTGCATGCACACAGAATGTTTATAATGTATAAACAGAATTATTGCAGATAATTGTAATATTTATATGTGCCTAGGTGACAATAAATGCATAATTTGTATAACATATGAATAAATAGCATATATGACTATACTATACTACATAATAGAATTATATTTTTATCAAATTGTTATATGGTCATTCAGTTTGTGTTTATACACATGGAGTGTGTGTGTACAATGCAACACCTACACACACAGACACACAACTATAAAAGAGCAAGTCCCTTCACTGCCTCAGCCTTGAGCTTTGCCATGGTCAGACCTGGCTTAGCAGCTAATGATGAGTTGCCCCTGCCTCCAAGTCCTGCAAACAGCGACGCTTGTTCTCTCTGGCAGAACAAAAACGGTGTTTTGCTGCTGCTGCAGGTATTTCATGCTATGGCCCTCTCCCTGGAGGCCCATTTAAAGTCACTGAGTTTCTTCTGCCAGCGAAATAAAACTGAGCTCCAGTGATAGGGAGGCTTCCTTGCAGAGCGTGCTGCGCACCGCAGATTGGGTTGTTTACCAGCTGGAGGATTAAACAGACTTCCAGTGGAGGGGAAAAAAATACGTAAGTGGTTTCAAGTGTGCCTTGGAAGCGACGTTTCGCTTGAAGGAGGCTTTTCAGACTCGCTTATGTTTGCTGGCTGCCACTTCACCTGCCCCTGGTGAGGCTGCTGCATCTCTGAGAGCGCAGAGCTTCTGGAAAAGCCCTGTTCTAGGCAGGGAGCAGAGGCTCTGCGTGCAGACGTGTGTGCAAAGCCTTCTTGCACCACCCCTGGACATGAACCCCCTGTTCCCATCTCTCCTTAGGGCAGGTGATGTCCCCACCACTTTGCTCTGAAGGAAGCCTTGTAGAGAAGGGAGAACGAAGAGCAGCGTTTTAGCTCAAAGAGAACTCACCAGAGTCAGGTTGCTTTCCTTTTCTGGTTTGTCCCCAAAGCAACAAAGCTACAAATAACAGCAATAACAATAATAATAATCCTCCAACTCCCTTCCTCCCCAGCATCCTCATCCTAAAACACAGAAATGAACCTGAGATTTAGGTCACTGTGGAGCAACTAACAGCTGCTCTCAGGAATCGGTCTGAACTGCCCTGCTGAGGCAGCAGCCTGGGCCAGAGCTTCAGCAACAGGTTGTAGGGTGAAGGGAAGCAAGAGAAACCTCTTCCTTTTACACCTTCTCTTTCTTCTCACCTGGCTCCTGATGTGCTCAGCCGCGGGTGGCTGCGCAGCTCCAGCTTGGAGCATGCAGCCCGGAACCAATTTTGTTCTGCTCGCAGTCCACATGTGCCAACCTCCAACCAACAGAAACTAAAATAAAGTAATATTCAGATGGGGATCTCATGGGGTTTGATGGATTACTCATTCCAAGGCAAACACTGAGCCCTGCACGAGCTGCCCAGGATGAAGGACAAGGGGGAAGGCGCTCTCTTCTTCCACCTCATCCTTCCTAAGCATGCTGCTAGCTGGGGTGCCTTGAGGACCAAATACAACAAAAACCCCGCTGCAAAGACCCTGTGTCTTTTTCTGCTTTCATAGAACGGGCAGTAAAAGTCACTGCCAGCTCAGCTGGTGGTGCCGGTAATGGCTGGTGCTATCAGGGGAAGCTTATCAAGAAGGGCACTCGTGTCCCCCTCCCCCAGCTCTCCGGCTGCCTCTCCTGGGCAGCGGATGAGGACTGGGAGCAGCAGTGGGAAGGTGGATGGTGCTGCTGGGGGGCCCAGCGCCGCAGGGAGCGAACGGCGCCGTCCCCACTGCTCCCTGCAGAGCCCGGCCGTGGTTGGCTTGGAGGACTCTGTTCGGAGGAACCACGAGCAAACCCGTGCTCCTCGGCGGCTGCATCTAACCTTTGCTAGCACAAGGGAGGAGAGAAGGAAGGAAAAAGAATAAACAGGTTGAATGGCCAAGTAACTAGCCTTTCGTTGCCCTTTAACAAAGAGGAGGAAAAAAGGGGAAAAAAAATCCCCTTTTATTGAAACCATTTCCTCTGATTATATCATTTCTCCGGAGACTGGAAGCAATTTTCAGTCTGAAGTGCCCCGCGTCCGCTCCGTGCAGGGGAAGGAGGCGGATGCTCCGCTTCCCCCGAGCACTCGGCCCGGAGCAGGGAGCTCGCAGGGCCTTTCCCGTGGGAGAAGCATCCGTGGGGCCATGGAGATGCCGTGCAGAGCCCCGGTGCCTCTGGCAAGCAGGATTCACCTCCAGCATGGGCCAGGTGTGTTGCTGCTCAGGGTGGCCCGGCCAAGCCCTAAGTAGGACACAGCTGGCGCCTATTACGTGTTCCCATTGGTGTCCTCTGTCACAGGTTCCAGCAGAGCACGTGGAGCAGCCCCGTGCCGGGGGTTGCTGCAGTGCCGGAGCGGCTCCGCGCTGGGCCCCTGGTAGCGACGTGGGAAGAGGAGGTTGGGTTCCCTTACAGCAGCATCCACAGGCTTCAGTCCACGACCTTGGAGGCATCAGAAGGAGCATGAGCAAAGACAGGCTCTTAAACAGGGAGTTTCACGTGCCTGGGAGCCTGCAGAGGACTCGATGTCTTCAGCAGTTTGGCCCTGGCCATATCCTAGGACTAGGCTTGTCTGCTCAAGGCACCACCACGCCAACAGCAAACACGCCAAGGCCAGGAGAGGACAACTTCAAAGGGGCCATTGAGCCGGGGAACAAGAGTAAAGCTGGCGTTGGGGCAAGAAGGGTTATTGGCTAGGACGGCTCAAGGCAGGTGATAAATCTGACCCACAGAGTTGGCATTCACAGAGCCCCAGCCCAGCCAGCACGGGATTTTTTTATCCTTTGTAACAACAGAAAAAAGAGGAGAGACAGAAAGGGGGAAGCTGAACAGTTACGAGGTTAGAGGACCCTCAGTCAAAGCAATGTGTCAAGTCTGTAACAGCTCCAGGAGATCCAAGCAGCACCAAGACCAAAGCCCAAGGCCAGCAGGTACCAACGCTCCTTAGATGTGTGTCTAAAGCGCTGGCAGGTCCCTGAACAGGGTGGCCAGCTCCTAGCAGGAAGGATAAGGCAAACCTCACTGTCCCCTTTTCCCTGCTGCAACACAGATTATTAGTAAAGATGAGGCTCTGTGGTATTTTTCAGCAGCTTCATTCAACTCCTGACTCTTTGGGACCATTCTCTGAAGGAGCCTACAACTTATCTGGTTTTGGTGGGAATTGGCTGCTTTGGCAGCATGGCCCAACAGGCCTCTGTCACGTTCAGAGTGACCCAAGACAGCCACTCCGCAGCAGGGACACAGGGGCTTCTTTGCCAAACCCTCACACTGTCAAACAACACAGTCCTCCTGCACATGCAGTTTCTAGACTAGAAAGGGCAGGAGATCTAACCTAGATCTGATTCTAGATCAGGGCAGTAACACAGACACAGCATTTTCAATGAGTGGATCATGACTACAAGAGAGGACAAGGTTTTTAACTCTAACCCAAAACACGTAAGCTGCAAAAGGCTCTTCCTGGTGAGGAAACACCAATTTTACTGCAGTTCTTTTAAAACTGTGTGGAGGAGAAGTGAAAAGTTTGGCCTGACAAGTTTGACTTAGAAACAGGCAGAAACATGGCAAGAAGAAACAGCCTCCAGATCCACAGCATTACTTTTTAACCACTTTATTTGTGTGTTTCTATAAACTTTTTACCTACTGGACATTTCATAAACCGTAAAAACAAACCCAGCCCTCCTACCCCCAAACCACGATCTATCCAGCTTGGTGCTGCTTAGGTAGGTGGTGTCCCTAGATAACCTTGGTGCTGCTCAGGTAGGTGCTGTCCCTAGATAACCTTGGTGCTGCTTAGGTAGGTGGTGTCCCTAAATAACCTCCTGCTGGGTGCAAGCCAGCAAGGAGCTCAGCGTGTCAGACCCCGAGCGTCTGAACCGTAGACAGGAGACAAACCTGGAGATGCGGCAGCTCTCCTGCCCCAGGGACGTGATGGGATAGAAAACACGGGTGGGTAAGAAAATATTTCCCTTGATAGGAAGCCAGAGCCTGATGGAGAAGTTCCATCCATTTGCAGGACCTGATCCAGGGGGCTCCGGACCAGCCTCACCGGCTGTCACCACGCCAGGGACCAAAGCCGATCAAAAAGCTCGTTTGGTTACGCCAGGGCCCAAGTGCTCCTCAGTATCCCCTTTCCAGGGGCATCGCCCGGCCCCGGCGCGCAGGTGCCGATGCCTCGGGGTGTAAGGCACAACGCGGAGCAGAGACAGGGCCCGGGGCAGGAGGGGAGGCCAGGCCGGCCCGGTGACCAGCTCTCGCGGACAATATCCTGCTGTCCCAAAGGAAAGCACCATGTTCAAGCAGGGATGCGGCGCGCGCCCGCTCAGTTTCCCAGCTTCATGTCTGCACCGCGGATGAGCCAGACCAGGCGGAAGCAGACGGCCAGGAATCCCGTGCCCAGGAGATCCCCTAGGGCGGTGAGGTAGGGGATGGAGAAATTATCCGGATCCAGGGCCTTCCTCCACATCAGACGCACAATTATGTCAGCCACGTAGAGCAGGATTCCCACCTGAAGGGACATAAGACACAGAATTGCAGTTTCTCCCTAAGATGGAGCCGAGCTGGATCCCGTAGAGCTGACTCCCAGCACACACAGCCCGCACAAGCAGGGCCAGCAGAGTGTCACAGCCCCTTGACACCAGCCACCAACAGCATCCCGATACGTGGACTACACCTGAACTGCTCCCAGGCATCACGTGGCCCAAAAACGGGAGTCTGGTGACAACAGCAGCAACTCCGCGCTGGGAAGGGACATTCCCACTCCCACCACCACGAATGGCAGCGCTCCCACTCACCCCATCCTGAACGGGACAGCCCTGCATAAGCTTGTAGTCATTCTTTTTGTTTTCAGACCTCTTTTCTCACATTAGAAATTCACTCATCTACTCTGTTTTTCCTAAAAGTCTCAGTGGCTCACTGGAGTTTTTATATCAAAATTACTCCAAGCAGCATGACATGACTTCTTTTCTTTTCCCCTCAATAGTTCTTAAATCTTTGTTGTGATTTCTTTTCATTCCTGTTACACTCCTGATCCTGATAAACAGATGGAGGAAAAAAAAACACTTCTGTTAAAGATTAAAGACTCTCTGGTTAATTGAATTATGAAAGGAGAAAGAGTTTGCACTTTGCAGCTGTAATCCCTCCCTGGGAGACGCAGCACAACAGGAATCAGACAGAGGTGGCATTTCTAGAGGTGAAAACCATCAGCTGGAGGGGGTGGCAGGGGAGAAAGAAAAGGATGGATGAAGGAAGCAAATTAAATAACAGAATCACAGAAACTACAGCTAGATGGAAACTCAAGAGGATAAATATAGACCACTGCTCTGCTTCCGGGCAGGAGCAAATATGTCCAAATCTTTCCCGACAGTGCTGTGATTAACCTATGCTATACTGTTTAACCTATGCTATACAACTACCAAAATGGAAAAGCCACATGCCACGTAATTAATTAGTTTTGTGGTTTAATTTTTTTTTGCTGCTTTTGTTTTTCCCAAGATCTTTAAACTACCTTTTATTTTTTTCTCATTTCAAATCCATGATTTCTTTTCTCATTTCATCCCCAGTGACTAAACAGAAAATGTTACCCCTTCCTTCTCTACAGAAACAGGGTAGTTTAAAGACTACTCTGAGATTCTTCCCAGTCTCTCTTCTCTAGACCAGCTAAGCCCAGTCCATCGCAGGGCTCTGTCAAGGGGATGTTTTATGGGTTTCTGATCATTCACTTCAGGTTCCCTCCAGCTGACCCAAACTTTCCCTTCCCATTCTTTTAGGCTTTCTTTATAAACTACAACATAGGGTGAAGAAAGAGTCAGGCTGAGCGTATTCTTCTCTGCCGGCCTCCACGGGAATGTTTCGGGGTCAGCAGAGTGGCTGGGATTCTGCTGTTTATCCTGTCACTTACTCTGTACTTTCATGCCTGGCTCTGCTTGAGGAGTTACCTCAATGCATGAAGAGAAGAATAAATATTTTCCTTTACGACTTCGACTGCGGGTGCTAGGTGTAGGGTTGTACAAAGGTCAGGAAAAATGGATTGTTTACACATGCAAGGAATTCTCCCGGACACAAGGCTGCTCAGAAGGCAAAGCTGGAAGCCAGCTACCTCCCCCTGCAAGCTAATGAATCACTAATTTAAAAGGGCAAGTGAAAGCAGAGCCTCTGAGTTTCAGCGACAGCTGTGTGCATTTGTGAGCGAGCCAAGGAAGTCTGCAGGGCAGGCGGAACAGCGCAAGGGACGGGAGGCACAGGCAGGAGAAAACGTGTGAACTGCCAAAACTACCCCAAACTTTTATTTTCAAAGATGAACTATCCAGGCCTGGGCCTTCTTTTTTTTCTTTTTTTCTTTTTTTCCTGTCCACAGGGGTCCCCCATTCTTCACCACGATTTGGGAAACTAGTTTCCAAAATAAGTGGGGCAATGTGCGGTCTGGGGTTACATCCTCCCAAATGCCTTAGTGGGATGACCAAAAACCACATACAAATGCTTGATGCAACTGAGTCAGTGTGGCAAAAGAGGGTAGGTACCACCTGCAGCAAGGAGAACCCCCTTGCTGAGGGCATGTCTGCAGACTCATACAGCTGCTCAGCAGATAGTGGTAACATTTCTCCTTATGTTTTGGATTCCCCACTCACCCATGGAGATAGCCACGTTCACGTAGGAAACCTCACAATTTGGGTGAAGTATTAGCAAAGATAAAAAACTCTGGTAGGAAGCACTCCTGAGTGGGGCCATTGCTGGGAGTTTTACTACGACTCCTGCTTAGCCTGGAGGTTGTTTTGTTTTCACAGTGGCTGAGCGGTTCCATATGGATAAAAGGCTGGGGTTTACCTGCAGCAAAGCAGCAGTCAGGTAAAGTATCACAAAGATGAAGGACAGAGACGTGTGGCCTCCCTGCAGCAGATGGATGGTGTAGAGGAACACGAGGTGTCCCGGGATGACCAGGAGGAACAGGACTCGGGCTGACTTGGAATTCACCTCTGTGGAGGATACAGACAAGAGCATCAATCACAGAGGCTGCAGACTTTGGGGTGCATAGGACACAGCTGTATACTCTAATGATACACAGGTTTGGGCTGTCCACCACCACTGAGAAGAGAGTGGAAGGGACAGACGGTTAGCAATCCATTTCTGAAAGATGCTCAAGAGCAGCCTTTTTTTCTATTTTTTTTTTTGGAGGTAATCCACTCCCACTGACCACATTGCTAGTACCTTTTCTAGATCATGTAGCAAAATGAAGCACCTGTATTATTGCCCAGCAGCTTTGTCTGGCACAGAAACTATGTGCCAAAGCCACGCTCCATGCTGATCCTCTCACCCCACTTCCTCCACACACACCTCTGCTGCTCTGAGCTCCCACCACTTCTCCCGTGCCTGGCTGCAAGCTGCTCTCTCCTTTTGCAGTGTGCTCTAGCAGCAGCTCCCAAACTTGCAGGGAAAAGTCAAGGGGAACCTGCAATCTATAAAAGACAACACAGCAACACGCAGTTTTGCTGATGCTTAGATTAATCCATTGCTCAGCCAACTCTCCCTGCCCTAACTAGGTGATAGTTCTAGCATGGCAATGGCTAAAATGACTCTATCAGGTCGAATTTGAGATTCCAATTTCAATGACTCTTTCAGTGTTCCCTGAAGACCAGTTACCTTGCATGTCAGTGCACAGACACAGCACAAGCTGTATCTCAAGCTGCCCACTGCAAAGATGCTTGCTCTCTGATCTAAGATTTTCCTTGTAAGGGGGAGAGGGAATTGTGTTTTTGAAACCCACCTAGTTTTTGGACCACCAGGCTTAATAAAGGAGCCATCTGATGACAAGCCTTGAGACTTGCTAGGGTTCAATGTCTACCTGAGGAGAAGAACGTGGTACATGGGTTGGGCCAATTCTGCCTCATCTTGTACGGCAAAACTCCAGGCATGCTCCAGAAGTGCAGGAATGTGGAAATACGGCTGGCCTGGATGGCTACCAGATTCCCTCCGACACCTATGAGGAGAAAACACAGCAAACCTGTAAGTTGTCTTCCCTGGGAGAGGAAGCATCAGTGTAAAACCTAGCCCAAGGCAAATAAATATGCATTCATTTAGAGTGAGAGAAAGAGAACCTGATACCACAGTGTCATGGTGACACTACACTATTCATTCAGCAAGAGCAGCTCATAAAAATCAGGAAGGCTGCAGTGATCGCCTCCTTTTAACTGCTTTCCTGGGAATATTTTCTTCCCCTTCCCTGCCCCAGTTCCCAGGCCATGCTGCCTCCGAAGAGGATGCAACTGCACCTGGCTCAAGGTGAGAAGTGAGAAGAAATCATATGAGAATGCATCAGACCCCAAATATGTCATGTAATTAAAAGGCAATTCCTTCCAGACTGATTAATTCTGGCAAACATGAAAGAGCTGCTCTATTTTCCAAAAGAAAATTGAGGGCTGACGACCTCCAGAGCAAATTTCCATCACCCAGAGCGTGCAGCCAGGAAATGCCACCAAGATAACAGGGATCCAGATCCTACAGCCTTTTCATGTTTTCTCTCTCTCTTGCGGAGGGAAATGCTCTCTCATTAAAAGTGAGAATTGCCAGAGTGGAATCAAAGTGAAGATACTAAAACAGAGCAAATCAGCTTAATGTGGGGGGGTTTAAAGCAGTTCTATGAAATGCTCTGCAGGACTCCCTTGCCCATGCAAAACGAAGACACGAGCTCTGCAAAACAGCCCTGCAGCCTGATACGTGGCTCCGGCCGCGTTCAGCTAAATCACTCCTGACGCTCTTTCCCAACCAGGCTCTTTGGCTGCGTGCTGGGAAGTGTCAGCAAGGTGCCCTGTTTTATGCAGATCCAGTAAGGTCACGGCTGGATGACACCCTCTGACACTGCAAGAGGACACCGTGCTTTGAGGGTGGCAAGAGGCCAAGCCTTTCCTGGGAATGGGGGTTTCCTCTGGAATGTGCCTAGCCTGCAAAAACACTGCGACAGCAGAAAAATAATCCGGTACATCCTCAACAAATGTCCCAGTCACCAGCAGCTTATACTGTGTGTGTGTAACAAAGCACTAGGAGGTTTTTGTATACACAAAAGATTTATACGCACACACAGATACATACACACAGATACATACACACATACATAAAATCTCTATACACTTCTTATAATCTTCATATAGTAATGTTTATCAACAATCTGTAGAGAGGGTGATTGCAGAGCTAAAATAACTTGCATGGAAAGTGACATAAAATAAATTTATTGTGATATCCTTAGCAGTTCTGATGTCATGAAAGTGAAGCACAACTACCAGAGATAACCACAAGATGCTGTTAACCTTTCCCACAACTCTGCCAGGATTTTTCAATCCTGCCTGTTATTTCGCTCCAGCAACACTCCAAGGCATGAACAAGCAGAGATGTAATGGGAACCAGTAGTTTCATTTCCACTGCCAACAGGAGCTGGGACTTGAACCCAGACTTCCAGGTAGGGATAAAAGTGGATAACCCATGGATTAATGAAAATAATAAAAGCATGCACAGAACGTCCCAACAGCCTACCATTAATCACAGGTGTGAAAACTGCCATGCCTTCAAAGTTGGGGTCAGTTACAGTTTTGTCCAGGATCAGGCCACCGATGCTGTTAAAAAATGACAAGGCAACGAAGGTCACTCCCCCTTCCCTAGGACCCCCTCCATCCTGCAAACAGCCCCTGCAATGGGCATGGTAAGATCAGGAAGTCCCCTTTCCCCACCTTAGAGCACAAATGCTATTAGTCATGGAAGCTTTATCATCTTCCCAAAAAGTTTCTCTAAACGGGATTTATCGGCAGGACTCAAAATCACATTTTTATGAAAGACCATATTTACCACAGATGAACTCTCTCTCAGATCTCAGCTTGATCTGAAAAATGTAACACAGGGGAATGAACTACCCAGCTTTACACTCGCAGAAATTTCCATTTACACCTGGCTAAAAAGAAGGCCGAAATCCCATTTGTCTGCAATGGTCATTTTACCCCTTTTTGGTTTCCTGCCTTGCTCTCCCAAGGTGCATGAATGTGTGAAGCTTCAATCAACGACTTATTTTTTTCCCCATTCATTTTAGGGATCCCTGCGTGAGCTCTCACAGCCTGTTGGTGGCCCACTAAAAGTTGAAAAGTGCTCGAGAAGATGCCCTGCTCCACTGCTCCAGCAGCTCCTAGAGAACCCACGTGCACCTGCAGCCTGCACAGTCCCTCCTGGGTTACCTGCTGATGCTCATTGCAACGATGACCGGCTGCCATCCCGACTTCAGGACTTCTGCCAGGGAAGGACTTTGCTTGGCGATGGCAACCCAGAGAGGGATCAGGATAATGAAGACGGCACAGATCAGAGGAGAAAGGTATTTCAGGTCTGGTGAAAAACAACAAAAAAGGAACCTTGAATTAACTGCCTCTGGCTCCACAGGTTGGCAAAATGATGCCGCACATTTCTGGAAGAATGGTAGCAAATATGGTGACAAAAGAAACGCATGAACCAAGATATTCCCGTCCCACCACAGAAACTTGTACTTAATTTACAAAACTCACTGCTAGAGGATGTTACTTGCATCTAATTGGGTCTCTAATTCCATCTTCAGCTAAACAAAACAAAGTTACAAGCTTGCTGGCTGCAGGGTGCAAATCAAACAGCAGAGCAAAGGAGAAACTCTCCTGCCTGCAATCTGTACCACGCTAAGGACAGGGACACCCTGCATTTTCACCTAAAGCAATTCCAGCTGATTCTAGACACTTCTAGACACAGCTGGCAGGATTGGTGAACAGCTGGTCTGCTCCTACAAGGATGAACATTCTTTGCATTTATAAGCCAGTTAAGATCCAGGGTTTCTTCCGTGCTAGCTTACATGTGTTTCCATTAGGTGCTTTCTTCCATTCAGAAAGGGTATAACCTTGAAATGACCTTTATAGTCAAAGAATTTAAAAATGATGTGCGGCTCCAAAAAAAATAAACATGACTCAGAACAACAAGAAACACCTCCAAGCAATGGGGTGGATGCCAGCCCTTTTGATATAAAACTGCTTCTTCAACAAAGCTCCCCATCTGGTCTCTGTGTTCAGGCCAAAGCCAGCGGGTTGTAACACAGACTTTGCAGGTAATCTGGAAGATGAAGCAGGCTCGAAGTGTGCATTTCTCAAAATGACATTGCCAGAGCCTCAGGCTACCTGGATGAGATTGCGCTGATTTGATGGTATCTTCCCTGCATCAAGGACTCACACACAAAGGTGCGTATTCTTTGCGTGTGGCTT